CGAGCGTTGAGGCTTTCATCGAAACAAAGAGAGAGGCCCAGCTGGTGCTTTTTTCTGTGTTAGATTTTCCGGTCATGATGATTTTTGTATGAGTTAGTGAAAGTTTTATGATTTTTATGCGAGAAAACAAAATTTTATGACTTTGGTAAAAAAAAGTCATAGTTATATGACCATTTATGAAATTTATCCCTCATTTTCCTTCACTATACTTTAAACGACATCACTATAAATACTTAGACATTAATATGTTCAATACTAAAAAGTTTCATCAGAACACTATTCGCTTTGCTAATATTATTATCAATCTTTAATAAAGGTATTTTCAAAAAATACTTTTCTTCTATCCACTGAAAAACTGAAAACGTTTCAGAAAATAAGTCATTTTCCGCAAATTATTATCCTGAAATGGTTTCTCTCATACCAACCACTCTTATTTCTTCTTCCTTTAATGCTTAATTAATTTTTCAGACTAAAGTTTAGAAAACAGTAAAAAAAAAAAAAAGGACAGTACAGTGCACTAAGCTCCCGCTATGCGCGGGACTTGAGAAGGGTTGGACCACAAGGGTTTATTGTAAACAGTCTTACCCTGCATTTATTTTCACGGCTTGAACCCGTGACCTTCTGGTCACATGGCAACAACTTTACCAGTTACGCCAATGCGCCCATTCTCAGAAAACAGTAGAAAAATAAAAAAGAAATTAAAAAGAGAGGAAAAGGAATTGACCCTAAGTCCTTCACCAGCCATGATAACAAAAGAAGAAGGGGGAAACTGAACAGAGATCCAATTTCCATCCTTGGTTTTGACCTCTAAACCATCAACATGATTTTGGTGAAGTATAGTGATGAAGTCAAGGTCTGTATGATCTGAAACACCAACTGTAGACTCGTCCAATCTCGGCACTCTATATTTGTTCACTCTATGGAGGAACAAAGTGTTAGATTCAGCGTAAAAATCGTAGCACTTGTTCACACCATAGCTTTCAAATACCATCCTGCACAAAATCTCATAGAACTCTGCTAGTTTCTTTCCATAAAAATGGAAGGTTTCACTAACCAAGAATGTCCACAAGAACAGAGATAAACATATGTTTAACAAATTAATCAACAAATTCATAGACAAGATTGAAATGACTGCATGATCTAATAAGTTGAGTAAAATAAACATTGCCAAATGTTTAAATGGTGATGTTTGATCAAACATGATGTTTAACTAAAAATCGGGACATATCTATCTTTACCGTTAGCCAAGCTTTTTAAAAATACTCTCCATCTAACGGAAAGCCACCAAATTAAAAAAATATATGTTTTTTTAAAAACCCATTAATAACCAGTTAAACCCCTTTTATTTACTGCAGTTTTTTTTCACATATTAGTCATATCCTTCGTAGTCACTTGCTAAACTCAAGAAGTGAAAGACATAAAAATAGTGACAACTATATATTAGTTTATACATTGAGTCCCAATTTTTTTTAATATCCTTATTGTATGTTTAATTATATTCCACCTTTTTCAATTTTTTTTTCTTCTAGTTTCTCTCTTTGTTTTTTCCCACCATGTCGAACTTTACCAAGTATTCATCATGATTTTCTTTCCACCATGACTTGAATGTTTATAGCATCTTATTAGGTTGGCAGATCTGAAGTCTTAAGGCAGCTACCGAAATATTTCTTTACATGATAGGTTTAATGAGTTTGGGTTAATGAATTTTTTTTAAAGTAATTATTTTATTAATCTGGTGGCTTTCCGTTGGTTGGAGGGTATTTTTAAAAGTTTGGCTAACGGTAAGGGTAGATATGACCTGATAGTATAACGGAGGGTATATATGAACACTATACTTGGGTATATTTGGCCCTTGTCCCTAAAATAAAACAAATATAGTAGTAAATATCATGAGGTAAAAATATGGTGAAATACCAGAAATGCTGATTTCCTGAGGGCCACATGAGATTAGTGAAACCTTGAACAACTTGTAGATTTGTTGCGTCCTCAATTCCCATGCTTTCATAGAGAGGCCTTGACCTATTTGGTGGTAGGTAACCAAAATAGGGTATATCAGAAATATTTTGGCTTTTGATTTTACTGGGGAGATCAAACAACTCTGGCAATATTTGGAAAATTGAGTTGCTTAGCTCTTTAGAAATTTTATCATATATTGCCACGAAACAACCATACGACTCGAATGCTTGTCTAACTTCTTGGCATGCTGCAATCCAAGAACTTGTTGCTGGTTTTAGATTTTCTTCAGCAAGATATATACTAGGAATATTGGACATATTTTTGGAAGCCATGTCAGTGGATATTGACGAGCTTTTCTCATATATCCTCCCTTTATATAGTAATCAAGTTGTTCAAAAAATCCCATTTAGGGTGTGTTTGATAATGCAAGTAATATTTTGGAAAAAAAAAAATCAAATAATAAATTATTTGAAAATTTAAAAAAAAAATACTTACTTTCACTGTTTAAATTTATGTGTCAATATTTCCTTTTTAGTTGTTTCCAAAAAAAATGAGCGTTCTAAATTTAGAAATAATTTAATTTAGACTGCTTATTTTTATTTTAATGAGAAGTTTTTATAATCACATAAATATCTATAACTTATTCTAGATCTTTTTCTTAAACTTAATTTTAATTCAAATTTTGCCACATAAAGTAGAGCAAAAGGAGTATTATGATTGCATGACATTATTAACAAATCAAACAGTGTTTCGATGAAACTTTTGAGTATTAAAAGTTACAATAATGTATGAGAAGTCATTTTCTCCAAATGACAATAATATATAGTACCAAACAAACAGCTAGCGCATGTATAATGACAATAACGTATACCAAACACACCTCAGTCACATGAACTAATTGAAGTGGAAATAATACTATTGAGGAAAGGGAAGAGTTTACGGCACTATTTGGTATTGAAAAGTGACCTCAACGTCACTATTGTTATCTCATATATAATCTATATTCGGGGTAGGGAGCGAAGGTTGCGATCCATCCACCCATCTTCTATTTGATATACGAGGATATATGCAAAACTTTTTTATTGTTTAGCCAAATGTTGCGTAGTTCGATCTAAAAAATTTGGTACACCATTCATCGAATAAAAAAATTATTAACTTGTTTAAAGTTTAAACATCCTTGACAGAATTCCTGGCTACGCTACTAAACCTCGCGCCATCTTCATCGCGCGCTCGTGTTTGGCCAAATGATTTGGTGATTGATATGTTTTTTGGTAAAAATAGCACGGGCTAATCAGTTTTCGGACTGGTAATTGAAAATTCACGTCGTTGTTCTGAATTAAGTAGGCAACGGTTGTTGGCACCTGCATACCTTTTCTATTCACCCACTTCTTCTTCCCCTCTTCTCTTATTATTTTCAAAATAAAAATAAGTGTCAAGTGTGATTTGCACCATACTTTGAGTTAGCCGAAATTCTGCAATTTGAATTACCGCTATTACAAAATAATTGTATATTCTTGGAGGAATTAATCCCGATATTGATTAACAATGAAGGAACTAAATTTCTTATGTGACTAGAATATTCTTTTTTTGATTTAGCTAATGATCTTCTTAGTTTTTGTTTCCCCATTAATTATTTATTTTGATTTCTATTCCGAATATAGATAGACAACAAGCTTAACATTAGGGACATGTGTAATACTTCCTGCTTTCCGGTTTAAATATTTTATTCTAATTTTTTCCAAAAAATAATTTAAATTTGTTGCTTTCTAAGTTTGAAAATAATTTAACTTAAACTTGTCATTTTATCTTTAATAATAATTTTTTTCAAATCCATAAAGCTCTTTTTTTATGGCCATAATGAATTTTATTTCAACCAAATGTATATATTTACAACTGCTAGTTCATGTAGACTCTAACTATGTCTCAAATCTAAGCACTACATATCTAATTACATGAAAAGCAAAGCAATTGAAAACCTACTCTCTAATACCTTTTTACTATTTGTATTGTTGTATTGAATAACTTTCTCTTCTAATCCCTTAGAATCTTTGGGAATTCCTTTCATTTGAAATATGGTAGACTGAAGCAGCAAATATGAACCCCAACACCTTTGCCCTAGGTGGATTACCATGTGATCTCTTTGAATCCAATTCTAGGAGACCTTTTAGAACTATGTCTCAAATCTAAATGTCTATAGTCTTCGCAAGGCAAATGGAGTCGGCACTATGCAAACTTTTGTTTTCAATATGCATCAAGTTTGAAAATTTCAAACTTCCACAGCACCAAGAATGACCCATCCATTCATATTGTGGCCCAGATCCAATGACTAAAATATTTCGACAACATATATAGTTTCACACTAGGAAGAAGTACAGCCCAGTCTACAAGAGCCAAGTTATTTTCTCATATTTTCACAGCAGGTGTGGAATTAATTAGTGTACTTTCAAATATTTGGCTAGAGCTATCGTATGAGTGATCTCTTTTCTAGCAACGACAGATGCAAGATTTTCATCAAGGAGATTTAATATATAAACATGTGTAAATTAATCAAGAAAATTCAACATATAATATATACATAAAATTTAAAATATTTGACCGTATATATACAATGTAATTTCTAGGGAATCGAGTTAACCCCTTCCTCCCTAACAATCGGTGTTATTGTCTTCACTCTTTGGGTTACACTGAGCTGGTTTGAGCTTGTGTACAGTCTTGTCTATTTTCTGTTTTCTTTTCTTTTTCAAGCCTTGCTACTGATGTTTATTTATCCTCCCCACGTAAATGTATTTGTATAAGACATAACAAGTATTTCATCTGAGTACATTAAAAAAAGAGTTGATATTTTTTCATTTGATTTATCTGTTACTCGATACCTACTGATTCGACTAATTCAGAAGAAAATATGCGGTAGTTCTTATATTGAACGTTGATAGGTTTTGGGACCATGTCATGATCATGATCCTTGCAGGTCTGTGGAATGGAGAGAAAATTATGATTAGTAGGGTACATATAATATAGCTAACGAGGGAACGAACAAATTAATTAATAAAATGTTGTCTGGTGGAGTGCTCTTTCAGGAATTAATAAAGTATGGAACAAATTAAAACAGAGTGATTGGTAGTCGAAAGAAAGTTCAAACAAGTGGATGAATTGTTTAATTAATGGAATCAAAAGACAAAAAGTTTCTTCGTTGGGTTTTAGTGTTCATGTTTTTTTTTTCCCCAGAAAATTCCTAGGAAAAACTATAGTTGCTACCCTTTGAGTGTGCACGGGGAATATGCTGCTCACTATACAATAGCTCGCAAACTAAATAGGAGATGTAAACCGCACTAGGCAAGTACGGTACGAGCTCTGACCGAGGAAGCTGCTGGTAAAAAAAATCGATCTCAAGTCACCCATGTGAGAAATCACTCACACAACCAACTCAGCCAACTCTGCTTTATCATTTATGTTGATGGTAGCTTTATTGTGAAATTAAATAAGAGAAGAAAGCAACATTAGGGTATTTAGTAATTAGAATGATCAACCAAACTACTCGATATGTTAGGTGTATAATTATTAATTGGTCATCCATCATTACGTCTAATATAATCTATAATTGGAATTTGTTAAATGTCATTGGGGTTTGGGGATGATAATAACGTAGACCTTACACTTATCTTGTGAAGGTAGAGAGACTGTTTCCAGTAGATCTTCGATTCCATGAAAGCAAAATCACAGCAGTTATGACAACGAACTACGAAAAGAGAAACAACAACAACCAGAAAAAAAATATAACCGAAGCAAAAGAATCATCGGGTAATAATAACGATCTAAACATAGAGAACACGAGGATAACACTAGTACTACAACTATGAAAAAGAAATATAAATTTGGAAAAGAAATACGTTTACTTATTAACCTACAGCCCTAATTTTTGACACTCACACCTTCCTATTAAGGGTCATGTCCTTGGTAAAATAAAAATTAAGTTATTTGTGAACTTATGTATTATTTATGCAATAGAATACTGAACAAAGTTATGGGTACTCGTAATATATTGATCAATACAAATTAAAATGACAAAAATAACACCCTCCTAATAGTAAATAAACTTTTTTTTGTTTCAAAAGTAAGCATATATTTTATATAATACAATGTCTATAGATTTTTTTTAACATAATACTGAACAAGAATAATCCTTGAATTATAATGCATATATTAAAACAAATGATTGAATGAATCACATTAAGAAATATGAGACATGGCATGACAACGAATAAAGCGAATTGATAATTTTTAAGCCTTCTTTTAGGTTTAGCAAAGGTAGCCCCAAAATATTAGTATTAAATAACTAAACCTAAAAAACCCTAGTTTTTTATTTATTCTCTCTCCCGTATCTCTTTTCTTTTTCCCCGTAATCTTCTTAAAGTTATACTGCATCATTATAGTCTGGATCAAAACCCCAATGTGAGAGAAAATGGCATGGCATGATAACACATAAAGAGAATTGTCAATTTTTTAGCTTTCTTTTAGATTTGGCAAAGGTAGCCCAAAAAACATTGGCATTATATAGTCAAATCCTAAAAAATTCTAGTTCCTTATTTATTCTCTCTCCCCCGTATCTCTTTTCTCTTTCCCCGTAATCTTCTTAAAGTTGTACTACATCATTATAATCTAGATCAAAACCCCAATGTGAGAGAAAATGGCATGGCATGACAATGCATAAAGAGAATTGGCAATTTTTAGCCTTCTTTTAGGTTTGACAAAAGCCAGCTCCAAAAAATTGGCATTATATAGCCAAATCCTAAAAAATCCTAGTTCCTTATTTATTCTCTTTCCCGTATCTCTTCTTCTTCTCTCTCTCGTATCTCATTTCTCTTTTCCCCTAATCTTTTTAAAGTTGTACCACACCATTATAGTCTGGATCAAAACCCCAATGTGACAGAAAATGGCATGGCATGACAATGCATAAAGAGAATTGGCAATTTTTAGCCTTTTTTTAGGTTTGGCAAATGCCAGCTCCAAAAAATTGGCATTATATAGCCAAATTCTAAAAAATCCTAGTTTCTTATTTATTCTCTCTCCCTGTATCTCTTCTTCTTCTTCTCTCTCCCGTATCTTTTTTTCTTTTCTCTCTCGTATCTCTTTTCTCTTTTCCCGTAATCTTTTTAAAGTTGTACCACACCATTATAGTCTGGATCAAAACCCCAATGTGAGGTTCCTCTGGTGAATAGCTCATTTCCACGCCATTAACAACAAACCCATTTCAATTTAAGAATTTTTCTTCCAAAAATATTTTATATTTTGTGCTTCAAAAATATTTCAATTAAATAGAATTTGCAGGGATTCTTAGTTAGACCCGCATTAGCGTTCGCAGTCCCC